AGCGGGGCGGGGGGGGGGGGGGAATTCCTAATGCAGGGGAAAGTCACAGCCTAACCCTGGCTTCACCTTGGTGGTTCAGTTCACTCGGCTCCTAACAGCTCACTTCTACCTGCATGACCTTCCTGCCTAAAGCCGCGGGCTTCCAGTCAGCAACTTTTCCATTTTTCCTGTTTCTCTGAAGGCAGCCTTAATGTTACACTTTGTTCATGAGTAAATGTAAGCTGAAGCAATTGATAAATTAAGAAACTTGAAGTCTGCTTTCACATTTTTAGTAACAAAATAATTTATTAACTTTTAAATCAGAACCATAAATTAAATATATACAACACTATCTGTATTTCCAGCACATAATAGGTTAAGGAACACAAGATACATTGCTAAGAGTCATTTTTCCGTGAAACTGTTTGCTGAGCTTTCATGCAGGGTAGCACTCATCACTGGATGAAAGGCGAGTGCCCTTCTCCAAGTTACTTACTCTTTTGGTAGAAGCTTAAACTGCACTTCAGCTGTTGGGTTACTCTATTGCCAGACAGTTTTGGAGTGTGGCTATAAACAAATCTAAAAATTAACTTTGATTTAATATTAAATTCTCACACACACACACTCAGTGGTAAGTCCAGCTCTGGGGCTGAAATGAAACTTGTATAAAAAGTGCAAAAACCACCCAACTCTTCCTCCGCTTCCCATGTCATGTAAGACAAACCATCCCTGCTCTATACCTCCATTACCTTGCAGCTTCTGTTACCTTATTATTGCTATTTTAAATTATACATACAGCTCCACACCATGACCATGGAAAAGAACGAATCCCGAGAGGAGCCCCTGGAAAGTGCAGTAGTGTCAAACCCTGCATCCCTCCTCTGCTGCGGGGCACAGCTGGCTCGCACGGGGCTCTGGTCAGCCGTGCGCTGTCGAGAGGCCTTGCCAGCTAAGCGGGAGTGTGTTTTCAGGTGAAAGCTTTGCTGGGCTTGACTGCTCAGCCATGAACCTCTGGAGCGTCTCTGAAGTTCCTGGTCGCAGCCAGGGCTCTGTTGCGACTGTGTCAACAGAACTGGGCCGTCTGCTGGCGTCCGATGGAGCGTGCTTCAGAAGATCGTCCGCTTCTCCTAAGGAAATGCTGTCGCCTGAGAGAGACAGTAATGTCCAGCTGTTAAAAGGGACAAAAGCTTATCACATCTTACCACAGCTTTCAGTTACAGTGAAGAGGCTTATTTGTCTGCAATAAATGCATAAAAAAATAATGCTTTTTAATTACAGCTGTTTCTATTTAACATGTTTTTGATGTTCTAGGGAACTGGGCTGGTATAAAGCCCATAGCTAAAGACATTAAGTCTTTGATGCCCAATGCCAACAGCTCCTCCTCTGCCAGATCAACAACAGGGGGGGTGATGCAGGCAACCTTGGGTGGACTTGGTAGAAGGGTCTTGCTTTCCCAAAGCCTCCTATTATAGCAACAAGTCAAATCTGTCAGTGCGTATAAAAAAATAAGACTATTAAGTTACAGTGTTGGGGCTAAACACCTTGTATAGATAGTCCCTTAGGCAAGAACTCAGAAAGGGAACAATTATTTTAACAGTGGTAAATATAACTGTGCAAATGTGAGAAAGTCTGTACATCACAGTCTACCTAACACCCACAACACAATGATGTCATTCTAAAATGCTTCCTGGGTAGGTCTTCATCTTCCAGCTACCAAAAAAAAAAAAAAGCCACCACAGAAAACTCAGCATTGCCCTTCTGAACTCTACTGTTATTTGAAGTCAGCAATAAAACATACCTAGTATCTCAGATATATTTTAGCATGGAATGTCAAACAACAAAGTTTTTTTTTATTTTATATATATGTGAACATAAAAAGATACAACTGTATCATTTCTCTGTGCTGCTCATTTTTGTGACTCACAGCATTTAAATTTTACATATACAAACCAAAAAAAAAATA